AAATCTGATTCAACTACCTTACCTGCTGAATTATTTCAACTAGCCCGAGTAGGGAGGTTGTCGTCAGAGAGGAAGATGGGAATAAACTTTTATTGCCTCCGAACTCTAAGGTAAAAAGTTGCTTCAAAAGACAAGAGAAGATTATGGAAAGGGAGAAGTAGTAGCAATCTCCATAAATAGTGGAAGCTGACAACATAAGAAGGAAAAGCATGCAATTCCCTGCAAAAGGTGTTGTTAAAAGTTTAAAAAGCAGTTCAGAAGCAGGACTTAAGTTTTGTAATCAGGTTAAGGTCTCCAACCATGCACTGGAAAAGGAAGATTAGTGACCTCAATACGTGGCTAATGAGTGAAGTCAGGCACAGTTTCCAATCTACAAGGCACTTACATCAGTCCTGGGGAAGATGGGATACAGACAAGATAATCGGAACAGGATTGCAGTCAATGAACTGTGTAATGGATAAATGGGGAAATTAACACTTACGTTAAGAATAAGTACAAGTGGAAGCGTATGGATGTTGAGCAGATTAATATGTGCAGAAATTAGCTTCAGACAGCAAAGCTTTATTTTAAAATGGATCGTCACATTGATAGGTTTGAACTACAGTCCCACTATTGGAGGGAGACAGGGGATGGCATTGGTCAGGAGACCAAAGTTTAGTTTGGAATAGTAAAATTATTCCAGATTTCAATTCATCATTCATTTGATTAACTGATTGGGACAGGGATAAGATAAATGGAGAATTGGGAAAGAAATTCCAATAACATACACAGGACTCTTTCAAAACGTGATTGTTTGTCAAGAAAGAAAATTATTGCTATAGCCTGTCACAGTTTAAAAAATACTAGATGAATGAGATATGTTAAGTGTAACTGAATGCCTCAGCAGTGACATAGAAACAACAAATAAGAGGAGTAAGCAATTTGACTCTTTGAATTGGGTTTATTTTAATTCATTCACAGGATGAGGGTGTTGCTGGGTAGGCCAGCATTTATTGCCCACCGGTTTTAAAAATGTGAACGAATTGAGGTCAGAAGCAAATGGGCAAACAAGATTTGAAAATAATGTTTTTCTTTTAAAAAAGGAGATTGCAAAGTTGAACAAATATACACCATTGAAACAAAACAAATTCCAGAATAAAAAGGACATATAAATTATAACTTAAAAATAAACTAAGATTGAATAGGGCACACAAAGTTTAAAAATATGATAAAATAAAAGAAAAAGAAAATAAAAGGTTAGATGATAAGGAATACAAGGAGAGAAATAAGATTTCCTTTTCAAAAAAACTGTATTCTTCAAACGTATCAATGAAAGAGAATTGCCAAAGAGTTAGGACACTGATAGATTATGGTTAGTGGAAGATTACTTAACAGTGTCAACAAACATCAATTGGTTCAAACGATCAGTTTCTGTGTTGTAACTTCATTATGAAAGATAGTTACGAAACATTTGGACTGCTTTTGTTGTAACAAGATATTACAGGAAAATTTAAGGGATGTTTAAAATATTGAAACAACAGCACAAAATTTATAGAAGACGACAGCTCTAACAATTGATGCATCTATAATTGGATTATATATGTGAAATTCATGACAAGAAATAGGGATAGAGTTTTTTTTTCAAATGGAAGTCTGAAAGCCTTGAGAATCCACTAACAGAGTAAATGATTGAAGAAGATACCAAGACATTTCAAAACAGGTGATGGATGGAAAAGTGGTTAAAGGGTTGCAGGATAAAGGAAAACACACAAGATTAAGGCAAAATTGTTGGCATGAGCTGAATGATATGTTTCTGTGTTGTAATGTATCACCTTCTTAAAAAGCTACTTTTCTCTAGGTTTTTACAAATTTAAATTTAGGACTGCTATTCTAATGAACTGATTTGCCTCAAAAGTAGATTAACTTTCCATGTAGGAGAGTTCAACTTAATCACCTCTCAATCACCAATGTTTGCATCAGTCTAAAGTCACAGAGTGCTATTGCCTGAGCCTTGTCACCTCTCATTTAAGACACTTCTTAAAATGTATCTCTTTGACGACGAGTTCTGTCACCACGTAATGGGAGGATGTGATTGCGCTGGAGGATGCAGAGGAGATTCATCAGAGTGTTGTCCAGGCTGCAGTCTGAGCTCTGAGGAAAAGTACTGAAAGGCTGCAGTTGTTTTCCTTGGCCCAGCAATAGTTGAGAGGAGACATGATAGAGGTGTGAAATATTATTAGGGGTACAAATAGGCACTTCTTCCATTAGTAGATGATTCACTAACCAGGATGCATAGATTTATGGTAGTAAGGAGGCTGGGAGAGTTGAAGGTTTTCTCACTTCGAGGATGATGAGAATCTGTCTGAAAGAATGATCAAATCAGAAACTCTTGTAGCACTTAAGCACAGTTTAGATAGTCACTTGCAGTGCCAGAGCCTCCAGACCCACAAACCTAGAGCTGGAAAATTGAATTAGTGTACTCAGGTCTTTATCGACCAGAGAGCATACAAAGGGCTGAATAGCCTTCTTGTATGCTGTAAGGATCTTTGAGACATTAATATCTCCTTATGTGACTAGGTTTCAAATACTAGTTGATAAAGTTCCCAAAAAGAATCTGGGGGCATTTTCTCTTTGTAAAGTTATTAAATTGATTTACAAACCTTTGTAGTGAAGACATTAAATTGAAAATAATTTATCATGGATATTAAAATCTTTTGACACTACGGAAAATAGCATGGGCAGTCTGATACCCATGTGGTAGAGCTGCAGCTTAGTAAAATTTACTGAGCTCCTGAAGTTTCGAGCTGTGAATTCAACATTCCTGCCTTTTATTGCTAACATATATAGTTAAAGGGGGATAATATTCCAAGGAGTGAAACAGAAACAAAAACAAAACCCGAAAGAACTGTAAATGCTGGAAATCAGAAACAAAATCAAAAAGTGGAACAGGTAGCTACCATCAGTTCTGAAAGAAGGGTCACTGGACCCGAAACGTTAACTCCGATTTCTCTCCACGGTGTTGCCAGACTTGCTGAGTTTTTCCAGCAATTTCTGTTTGTGAAAGAGAAACCACCCACTCCAGGATAAAGGCGCAGAACGATCATGCTATTGAACTGCAGGAGCCATCAATGCCGAATCCGTCCCGGGACAGTACAAGGCGGCGCACAACAACTTAGACGATCCTCCCCTTGTTACCGCCCGAAATGACTCCGTTAGCTTGACAGCGACTAATTGTGTAAAATCCCAGTCCGCGCTCAGGCTTGTTCCCCTCCCGCCGCTTGTTACCTGGTAATGGAGCCCCCGGTATAACAGCAGTAACAAGACGTTAATGAAGGCCAGGTAGGTAGCGAGCAGTACACGGGTGATGAAACCAGATTGAGTACCACTGAGCCCCGGCACCAAAGTGACTGACACCCCGAGCGCGAAACAGCCGGCGCTCAGTCGGCCCTCAGGCACCAGGCGGCCACCCGCCATCTCCCCGACAACCTCGCGAGAACTCTCACCAAAGTCCGCGAGACTTCACCCTGCTCAAGAAACATCGCGAGATTCGCCTGACCGAGAGCCCTGAATTGTGATAATCCTGCAGTGAACAGTATATGGAGCTCTGACAATCCTGTAGGCAGCACTTTGCATTGAAGGTTCAATAGTGAACGCTGGTTACTGATAATCCTGTACTGTGCAATACTTAGAAAATAGTTAGGAAAATACTGCACTAAGGCTAAGTCAGTTACCATCCTAAATGAACAAGGCACTGTGCAGAACACAAAACTCAATATTTTATAGGTTTATCTGTTAGTCATGACCCGCTGGCAACACTGACATTTCAGTTAATTGATTGAAGAATATCATTTAGCCTGGCGCTGACTTTTGCAGGAGATTCTGGTTGTCCTCTTCCAAGGATGTAAACGGTACCATCCATTTCTTTTAATAAAGAGCAGGGAGTTAGAGTTCTCCCTGATGTCCTAACCAATATTTATGGACGTATGCAAGTCTTTATCCGGAGTTGGTAAAACGTGTTTGCTAATTCACATAAAATGGCGGATTTTAAGAGTATTGGTAAAATTATTGAGAAGAGGCTAATTTGCATGTGTAAAGTTTAACTTTCTAAATAAATTAGCATAATGAAAGGATGTTGGAAGACGGGCATACTTCTCTGTGAACGAAGGGACCTCGTGGCGCAACGGTAGCGCGTCTGACTCCAGATCAGAAGGCTGCGTGTTCAAATCACGTCGGGGTCATAACTTTCTACTATCTCCATAGACTTTGTTTTTTTTAATTTCGGGCGTTTGGAGGTATTTGCCCTAATGTAGGAGACAGTGACTACACTGCTGTGGTATAGCTCAGAAGCTTTGGTTAACGCTTTGATATAAAACCCTAAGTAAGCTCACGCCAGGGACTCAGATCAGTTCCACTTGTGTGAAACACACAAAATCAGAAATTTCTGAGAAACGCAGTATCTGTGGACAGAAAGCAAAGTTAACATTTTGAGTGCAGTATGACTTCTTAAGAACTTTTGTGTTTCAAATTTCCAGCAGTCGCAGTTCTTTGTTTTACTCCAGTTAGCTGAACCCTGACCCCAATAAATTACATGATTGTGATCGTGAATCAGGGAGAGTGAAACACGGAGGCGAAATCATTGCTAACACATCCAAATATATGGGATAGCATGGGCTGAGTTCTGTCCCTATCGACTATGCACTTATTTGGTAAAGTTGATCCGGTCCATCGTTGCCATGGTTACATAGCAGAAACGTTTCAAGACGGCCGCCTAGTGACACGTGACCAGCGTGGGGGGCGGGGCCTTCCCTCGGCAACCATCTCAATTCCCTGTCCCAGGGCGAAAAATAGAGTGAAACATGATAGGACACACAAATGTCCCCGGGGGTAACCTTGGAAAAAGAAAGAAAAGAGCAGGAAGCCGGAATTGGATAGTGGGAAAGGAGCAGCATCGTTCCGAGTCACTGCCGGAAGACTACAACGACCGGCATGCCTAGGGTGGTGCATGCGTGGTTAGCCGGCAGGCTGCGCATGCTCAGTTTGTAGGTCCCTTTTGACAGCTGTTTGGAAGATGGCATTTTCATTTTCTCTGAACACTTCAAACTAGGAACCTAATTTACATCACATCCATTTCTAGCAGCAGTCAGAGAATATCATCCTGCAGGTAGGCAAGCGTGAAGTTAACCACAATTAGATAAATACATCCTTTTTAGTGTTAATCAACGAACCCCACTGCTTGCAATCTCTGCTGCTTTGGGAAGATTTATTCAGCATCTGGAGAGAAATCGGGCTTTAGCCCCACTTCAGAAGGGCCTATGTGTAACTGAATGCATGGTATGCTTTGCTGAGTTTCCTAAAAGCTCTTTGACATGTTTTATTGTATAGAGTTTTGATTCAAATTAATTTGGCCTAAATAGGCCTTTCATTAAAAATGATCTGTTGAACTTAGTTACTAAAAAAAATATAGTACCAAGTTGAACTGGATGCAACGTGTGTGTATGCTTGAATAATGACCAGTCTGCAGAGATAATTAGTAATTCATTTTATGCATGTCTTTGCCACACAGTACCTGAAATAACTGTTCAGAGGCTGGTGTCCCATCACCAAGTCATCCTTTATTTACTCCTGCACAGTACACCGGCTGTGGCCAGCCAGTTTGGAATCAGTCCCCTGAGCTGAGGAGATTCTAAAACCCCTGTTTATATTTCTTTTTCTCTTTTTTTCCTTCTGTTTTGTAGAGCTCCCTCCTACACAGTACGCTGGCTTTCGCCAGCCAGCTCAGAGTCAATTCTCAGCTGAGGAGGTAATCCCCTGTTTATATTGGTCAGCCATGGCTTCCTGATTGACCTGGGTTAACAACCCCAATCAAGGATCTTGTAATCAATGAGATCCACCTGGTTCCGATCACGACAGTACCCTAATTGTTGTTGCTAAATTCATTCAATATAATTGTTGAACCCGTAGGGTTTCTTATAGAAGTACTATGGCATTGAAGGAGGCCATTTAGTCCATCATGTCTGCACCAACTCGTTAAATGGGTATCATAACCCACTGCTAATCTCTTGTGTTTTTGCCATACTGCAATCAATAACTTGTTGGTACATCCCTGTCATCAATTCATGACTTTTGTGTTGCTGTTATGTTGTCCCTTTCTCCGAATCAGGAAGCCTAAGCTGAAATCCCACCTGCTCCAGAGATGTACAGTAACATCTCTGAATACGTTGACTAGAAACTTTCTCCCTGTCATCAATCGGTAAAATTCCTATATCTGTTCTTGGTGAGGAAGATTGTTAAATCCTCTGTGATGTTGAGTTATTCTCATATGCTTGTATTGTATAAATCTATCATAATCATAGAATCATAGTCCTTGATCACCAATGCTGCTTCTCTGCTCTCCAATACAGTGAAATTAAACTTTTTGTTCCCATTTTCAAATTGCTCTAGCCTCTCCATGTGCTATCCCCTACTAATTTACTCAACTTTGTATCTTCTCTTGAACCCTTAAATCTTCCTCTTGCATATTGCCTTCGAGCTTTCCACAAGTAATGACAGGCATGTGAGATAGTTAAACGTAATTGTGGAGGGCAGTTATGATGTTTGACAATGTGCTGACCTGTTCCATAAACTGAAGCTGCAAATAGGAAAATTATGTGAATTGTTGAAAATTCTGGATATTTTCTAACTAGCCTCTTCAGAAATGTTATCACATAATGTGGGACTAGAATGTGGGACACTGCCACTATGCCACAACAGCCCTAACACCAAAATCAGACACAGTGTGGACCATATCCCCCCAAACCTTTCCTATTCATGTACTTATTGAAATTCCTTTAAATGTTGTAACTGTGCCTGCATCCACCAGTTCCTCTGGCAATTCATTTCATACACAAGCCACTCTGAGTATAAAGGTTGCCCCTCATTTCCTTTTTAAAATGTTCTCCTCTCACCTTAAAAGTATGCACCCTAGGTTTGAACATTCTCACCCTAGGGAAAAGACCCTTGCTTTTCACCTTATCTATGCCCCTCATTATTTTATAAATCTCTATAAGGTCACCCCGCAACCTCCTATGCTCCAGTGAAAAAAGTCCCAGCCTATCCAGCCTATTTTTATAACTGAAAACCTCCATTCCTGGCAACATCTTGATAAATATTTTCTGAATCCTCTCCAATTTAATAACATCCTTCCTTCTGGGAAACCAGAACTGTGCACAGAACTCCAGAAAAGGCCTCACCAATGTGCTGTATAACCTCAACAGGATGTCCCAACTTCTATAGGTCTGAGCAATGAAGGCAAGTGTGCTAAACACCTTCTTAATAATCCTATCTAACCGTAATGCAAATTTCAAAGAATTATGTACTTCTACCCTCAGGTGTCTCTGTTCTACAACACTACCCAGGGTCCTACCATTGATTGTTTTAGTTCTCCCCTTGTTTGTTTTACCAACATGCAATGCCTCAAATTAAACTCCATCTGCCACTCCTTGGCCTATTGACCCAATTAATTAAGATCTCTTTGTAATCTTAGATAACCTTCTTCACTGTCCACTATACCACCAATTTTGGTGTCATCTGCAAACTTACTAACCATATCTCCTATATTCTTATCCAACTTGTTTATGTTAATGACAAACAAAAGTAGACCTAAAATCGATCACTGTGGAACACCACTGTGCACAGGCCTCCAGTCTGAAAAACAATGCTCCACACTGACAGGTGGGACTAATTTAGTTTGAGAACATAGTTGGGGTGGACTAGTTTGACTGAAGAATCTGTTTCCATGCTGTATGACTGTATGATCTTATCCATTGGGCCACATGACCAGTGGACTTATAGTTAAATATAAGCTGTTGAGGTTCAAGGACAGAGTAATTCCTTTTATATTTTAGAAAGTTAGAAAGATTATGAAGTTTTAGAGTTTTGCATGCTCATACAGAAATCTATTATACCTGTGCCTTTCTCTGCAAGCAATCTAGATCTGTTCCAGTTTTGAAATATGTTTGAAATATTTAGCCTTTAACTGTAAAAAGCTCTTATGATTTCTGTTTCCAGCACTGAGCCCTGCAAATCCTAAATACTTCTGTCCGTTCCCATTTCCACTGATGATGAATTTTGAAGTATTTACTCTCTAAATTGTGTGCACTTGCAACAAAGTGTGATGGAAACCACATTTCTATTGTAGATAGAGAAATATACACTGTAAAAATAACTCTCACTAATACTTGAATTGTAGCTAGATCAATACATTAAATACATTGTCAAACCATCTTGTTTTAAACATTAATCTCTATAGACAAGAAGTGTGCATACAAACCCACTGCAACTTTGAAGCAAAAGAATTGGATCCTGTAATAATGTAACATACTAATACTGATACTTTCAGTGTTTCACTGTCAGTAATTACAACTCTTAGATTGCTGACGACACAATACCCGTAGCAATATGTAAGAGAGAGACCTCTGGCATCTTGGGATTTTTAGCAGTTACGTACTTGTGGCATACAAGATACACTGTAACAACTCCCTAAGGCTCCTTAGGGAGCACCTTCCAAACTCTCAACCTCCACCATCTAAGAGGACAAGGGTAGTAAATACATGGGAACACATACCCCTCCAACCACTCACTATTCCTGACTTAGAAATATATAATTGTTCCTTCACTGTCACTATGTCAAAATCCTTGAACTCTCTTTCTGATGACACAGTGGGTGTACCAACACCAAATGGACTGCAGTGTTTCAAGTACACAGCTCACCACCTCCTTCTGAAGGGCTTTGGGATAGGCAATAAATGCTGACCCAGCCAGCAAAGCCCACAAGACTGAAACAAAATCCTATAATCTATGTTTTGGTTCATAACTGCAGTAAGCAGTACTGCTGGTTTTGAGTGTGCAACTAGTAAAGACATGAGGAAGTTCTCAAGAAAGAAAGACAGGCAGCTTTTATATAGCAGCTTCTGCGCTCTCCAGAGGTACCAAAATGCTTTAATGAAATGTATTACAACAGTGACTGAATCTTAAAAGTAGGAAACACAACAGAAAGTTGGTACATGACAAACACCCACAACAGCAACGTGGTGATAACCAGGTACACCATTTTACTGAGATCATGGAATAATCATTGGCCACATCACAGGGAAGAACTCTGTTGTTCCTTTTCAAATCAGTTTAATCTTGGGATCTCTTACAGCTACTTGATAGAGCATCAATTTTACATATCTACACTGGAAGAAATGACTGTATAGTTTCAAGTCAGGATGATGAGTGACTTGAAGGGGAACTTGCAGATGGTGGTTTTCCCATGTAGCTGCTGTCCTTGTCTTTGTAGGTGGTAGTCGTTGTGCTGCACTGGGAAAGCCATCCTGGTTAATGGTCAAGTCTGTTGTAAGACTTGAATCCACAACCTTCGAACTTGGAGGCGGGAATGCTACCCACTGAAGCATGATTGACACCAAAAGAGTAAACTCAAAGGCAGCATCGAGGGAAGTTGCTTGTTATAGTCAGGTCCATTTAAGTTGATAGTTGATCCATACAGAGAGCCCAGGGGATCAAACCTCTTAATATTCACACCCACCATGTAGAATCCTAATGGACATAACACTTTGCCATTCACTCCTATTGCAACATTCCCAATTGATGAAATACATGATATAGATTACTAATGAACTGAACATTCCTGTTCAATCCACTGTTTCCCAACCACAGTGTGCGGAGATTAACAGAAACTGTTACCCAGATATCTGTGGTTTTGCCTACTGCTTTTGAATATTGGTAGCTGATATTGTCTTTGCCTCAGTTGTATGGTACAGACATTAGTACAAAGTGATCTTGTGCTTGTTATTGTCTGTTCTTGTTTAGACAGAGTTTTGATCAAATGTATCAATGATCGTGGGACAAGAATTACATTCATCTGCAATAAATTTATATTTTATTTTAAATTTATTGGTATCCTTTGATTTTAATATCTCTTGCTTTAAAAGAATAATATTAACTTTTTAGGGTTGAAATTGAAGACATGCATGTGACATTGCTGAAATGAACAGCTATTATTATTTAAAGGTGTTAGAATGACAGAAGTACCATAAAATCTCTTACTAGGAGTGATCAGAAGTTGGATGGATGAAGAGATTGCTAAAATTAAATGCTGGGGCATTACTGACGTGTTTCTGAATTTGGAGCTTTGACACATGGCATTGACAATGTAGCTTTACACTGTAGTAATCTATGCTGAATCTGCTGTAGGACTGTTTGATGGAGCAGTATAGAGGAAGCTTTACTCTGTTTCTAATCCTGTGTCATTCGAGTGTTTGATAGAGTAGTGGTAAGAAGATTATTCATCGTTTCTTGCAATAAACAATGTCTCCACTCCTATTTTTAGATATGGAAGACCATTTTTCCAAACATAGCAAGAGAATACTTCATGCGTTGAACAAACAACGGGAAGATGGTAAATTTTGTGATGTTACACTGGACCTGGGTGGCCATTACTTAAACGCGCACCGTAGTATCCTGGCATGTTGCAGTAATTTCTTCCACAATATCTATGGAGCTGGCACATCTGCTGAAATCAATCTTCCTGATAGTTGCACTGGTGTCTTGGGTCTTCTGTTTGACTTTATATATACAGGTGAGCTTCAGTTGACCCAAACAAATGTCTCTGAAGTGCTCAGTGCAGCGGAACTCCTTTCAATCCCTGATGCTATTCAGGCTTGTCACCATTATCAGCAGAAATTTGTTGAAAATGAGAGAAGGAATGAAGAAACCTCATGCAGCCAAGCGACCACTGAAGATAGATCTGTGAAGGTACCAATAGAAGCTACAAAACAGAGTGGAAATGTTGGAGTTCCTGCAAAACAAATCACAGTCACACAAATCAGACATTTTGGCAGAAAGAGCAACAGATGCAATGATAAACGAAAACTCAACTTGCTTACTGAGAAGCAGAAAGATAAAATAAGAACCTTTGCTATTAAGAAAAGGTCTAGAGAATCTTTAATCTCCCATGAAAACCAAAACTGTAATCAGGCAAAGGGCAAGGAAGGTGGCTTACGAGACAATGATGAGGAGAACGGTCGTGAGAGCACCAACGGGAACAGCAATCCTACAATGGACGTGGACCTGGTCAAAGTCGAAGAGGATGAGAAGGATGAAGATATGAATGATAGAGGAGAACTAGACCATGACTACATTCCAGCCAGGCACATTTGTAAGAAACAGAGAAAAGACCCCACGCAAGGACTGGACAGACAGAAAATCAAAGCCTCAGAACCAGCAAACAGAAGGAGTGAACCTGCAGAGTGTCCAACTTGTCATAAGAAGTTTCTCAGCAAGTATTACCTCAAAGTTCACAACAGGTAAATCAACTGCTGCCAGTCACAACGTTTAATTGTTGAAGTTAATGAATGTGCTGTTATCTCATGTCTGGGTGATATGGAAAAAAATTGAAACTTAGTGGCAAGTGCAGATAGTAATATTATCCCACTGACTTGATTATTCAGGAGAGCAAAGCAGGACTGATTTATAATCATCATCTGAAATCAAGCATGAAATTGCTGGCCTAAACTCACTCCCAAGTTAAAGTAAATTATAGTATTCACTGCTGTGGAGGTGGAGGCACTTTTACATTTGTCTGTTACAGGGCATGTTGGTCAAAGTACGTTGTAGATCGGGTATAGGAAACACGCTGACTAACTAACAACTGCAGGGTAATCAATCCTGTTTGGTTTGAGCATTAACTTACACTTCATCACCCAAAGGTAACAGTAGAACTAATCTTTACCACCTCTTCCACCTCATCCTGCCTGCACCTCACAAAACCAAAGTAGTGAAACTACATTTTTTTCTCCATATTCAATTTTCGAGTAGAATAAATATTTCTACTCTCAGGATTTAGCCAGTTAGTTTGGGATAGGGTAGCTTGTGGGTCATGAATTTTAACACACAGGCACTGTTCAGGGGAAAGTCAAGACATTCAAAGAAAAGATATTTTAAAAGGGATTAGTTAAGAATGGCATCATGGTCTGCGCAGATATGATGGGCCAAAGGGCCTGTTCCTGCGCTGTACTGTTCTATAAAAACTGTCTTTGCAGATCTTATACTTACTGTTCTCTAGTACAATTGAAATATCCTCTGTGCATATTCTGAGTTTACCATGAAGGACTGTCGTTCTTAACCTTTCCCCACGCCTGAGGTGTGGTGACCCTCCATTGTCTCCATCATCAGTTGTCTCTCTCTGAAAGTGGCCCCATATGGCAACTTTATTCATGGTGAATAAAAATTTACAGCCATACAAAAGAAAATAGGATTATTGTGGGATTGGTGAGGGACCAGCTTTAATCAAAAATGCTTTGCTGTTCTGAGAAAGTATGCAAATAAATAAGTGGTCACTTGCAGCTTCTTTCATCCACTTTCTTAAATGATGTTTCCTGCAGATCCATCATCATCCTTCTTCCCATTCTTCCACTGCCTAGATGCTGATGATGGCACAGTTTTTCTTATTGAGAGCTCATTGAAGTATCGTCTCATGACTATCCTAACTTGGCAAGTTCGTACTCAGTGTGCAATTTGTCTTTCAGGAGGAAAGCAATCATTAACTTCATAGAATTGTGGAATACAGAAAGAGGCCATTTAGTCCATCACATCTGTGGCAGCTTTTTGAAATTTCAAGGGCTTCAGGGAAAGCATTATGAATGCAGCCTTGCCTGCATTGCCCATATCTGTGAAGAGGTTTCAAGAAAGATAAATCTAGAAATAATTGTTTGACCAACCTTAACTAATGCCACCAGAACAACACTAAAGTCTCCTTCCATACCCCACTTCACAACAACTTTGTAAATGACTCTGGATGTTGATCACTCTGTGTGGAAAACTTCCTGTTGTCAGTTCCAAGTTAGCATTTCATTTGTTTAAACGTGTGCTTGCTTGCCTTATTCCTGCAGGCTTGTATTAAATATGTTCCAGATTAGTCTTCTCAACGTTGTTCACTATCTGAACTTGTTCTCAGAGCTCAATTATCTTCCTTCATAACTCCAGAGACTGGTGATGGGTATCAGTCTCATGGTTCTCTACACTTCCCGGATTTAAATATGGGCGGAACTGCAAACAGTTGCTAAACTCCTCAATCAAATTCAGGATAATTTTAACCATCTCAGTGTTGAGTCAATCTCCACCCTCAGGCCAGATATTTAGTACAACAACAGTCTGACTAACCTGCAGCTTCCGTTTGTAAGGTGATTACTACAAACTAACATACAAATATTTCTCCTATAACACGATAGTTGCGTTCTTGTATGACCTCGCGCCATAGAAAATCGCAATATAGGGAAATCGCTATAGAAAATGACTATACCTGTACAGCAGAAAGTTTGCGCTATCCAAACAGCAGCCACTATTCATCAATCATGTTACAGTGGATTCGCGTTAATGAATTATAGCAAAAATACCTATATTCCTAACATGATTGTTTTGTCTTCAGGAAACATACAGGAGAGAAACCATTTAAATGCACCAAGTGTGGAAAGTGTTACTTCAGGAAAGAAAACTTACTTAAACATGAGGCTAGGAACTGCGTGACCAGGACAGGCGTGGTATGGAAACTAGGTTTTTACATGTCTGTCTTTAATTGTTGTATTTTTGAGAGAATTCGCGTCAATCAAATTAAAGGTGCTAGTTGCAGCAAGCTTTAGCAGTAATCCACATCTGGCACCAATATGTCTTTGAAGTTGTATTTACAATTCCAATTTTGCCAGTTTGTTGAACTATGTGGGTCTGGGAAGTTTTACAATCAGTGTTTTTACCTCAAAAGTGGATAAATATTAAATCAGGAGCAAATTACTGCAGATGCTGGAATCTGTACTGAAAGCAATAAATGCCGGCAATCACAGCGGCTCAGGCAGCATCCATGGAGAGAGAGCAAGCTAATGTTTCGAGTTATCTCGATTTGAAACATTAGCTCGCTCTCTCTCCATGGATACTGCCTGAGCCGCCGTGATCTCCAGCACTTGTTGTTTTCAGTAAATCTTGAATCAGAACAGATCTGTTACCAGAAACGTGTGATTCATAAAAATTAATCGGAATAGATATGTAAGAAAATGAAAACTTTTATTTACATAGCACCTTGCAGAACTAATGATTATTCCAAAGAACTTTACAACCAATCAATTGCTTTTGAAGTGTAGTCACTGCTGAAATGCAACAACTAATTTGAACACAAGGTCCCAGAAACCAGGAAAGAGATCATGATTAACCTGATATTGTGATATTGTTTGAGAGTTAAATATTGGCCAAGACACTGGGGGATTTCTCTTGCTCTTCTTCAGAGAGTGATAATGAATCTTCAACTTGCTTCTGAAAGGACAGACAGGACCCATATCTGATCTGGAAAATCAGTGCAGCAATGAGAGTATAAGCTTAGATTCCTCACTCAAGTCTCCAAAATGAAGCTGAAATCTAAAACATTCTGATTCAGTCGAGATTGCTACCCACTGAGCAAAATGCTTTCACCTGCTCAAACTATAAACCTGGCTGCTGAGGATCCATTGTCTGTACCTGGGCAGTTGATCTTAGTCGAGTAGTTACAGCTTTGACATCTTTATATACCTAGAATATAAAGTTGTCTTATATATTCCGTGCTCACTATCATCCCTTGCACCTCAATGCACCAATTTCAAAATCCCTGTTTTTGTTTCCTCCTCCAGCCCTACATCTCAACCTGTGTTGTAAAGTCTTCAGATTATGGTATCCTGCTCGTCCATCAGCAGAAGAGTTGTCACTTTCTGAACTCTTTCTTTCAGAATGTTCTCCCTGGACCCCTCCTGTACAGCTACAGTTCCCCCAACATTTTAAGACCTCATAAAGCATATGCTTTCAATTGCATCACCCATCATCTCTTGCAGCTCTTCACTGCTGCTTGGTCTCCATTGCTGACCTACGTGGGGTCTTGGTGGGGGCGTTTTAATCCATTAAATAGTGCTGTACAACTGCAAATTGTCAAGAGAATGAGAACAAATCCGTTGATTGACTAAACCTCTTTTCCTCTAAAAACCAACATAATTCTGATCGTGCTTTTTTGTTTTTCTCCCCACAGATTTACACTTGTCATGAATGTAACAAGACATTTAAAGGGCGGATGGAGTTAAGGAACCATCTGGTATCTCACACGGGTGAAATGCCCTTCAAGGTATGTCCAATGATTCTGATCAGTCATAGGCGGCATCAACTAATCTCAGCTCGACTTAGCATTTTGAAGCTACAAATAACTAGATGAGTGAGGGAAGATGGAGACAGAAATTACCCTGGGTTCTCATTCCTGATAACTATCCAGTATTTATCTATGAAGGTTTTGACTGTAATATGGCTGTTAAGGGTGAGGTACAAGGTATATCTAGTCAGGGTGGCTAATTGATGCTTGTTACAATAGAGGGCAGCAACAACCATTGTCTGATGAATGAAGGAAATGAGTAAATAGGAAATAGAATCATACAACACAAAAAGAAGCCATTTGGTGCTTCATTGCTTTGACAGCTCTTTAAAAGACATTAGTCCCACTCATTTTCCACACCCTGCAATTCTTACATTTACTTGTAAAAATTATTATTAAATCTAATTCCACCATCCTTTCAGGCATGCACTCTAGGTAACGACATATGTTGCGCTTAAAAATATTATTCATTTTGTTACTAGTTCTTTTGCCAATCACTTTAAATCTATGCCTTCTTGTTACCAAGCCTTCTGCAACTGGAAGAAATTTCCCCTCATTTATTAAAACCCCGTAAAGATATTTATCATTTAACTTCTGTACTCTGAAGAGGAGAACCACAGCATCTCCAGTTTCTCCAAATCACAGAAATCTCTCATCCTTAGTACCATTCTGATAAATCTTTTCTGCACCCATTCCAAGACCATGATATCCTTCATAAAGTGATGGTACCTAGAACTGGACAGAATATTCCAGCTGGGGCTTAGAAGTGTTTTATAGAGGCTAAGCACAATGTAATGAAAGATGATGGAAAGTCATAAAAATAATAGGCAAAATGCTGAAAAAATGCAGACAATTTATGCAGATGTAATGCATGAGCAGTACACAATACATGAATAAGGTTTACAGGGTTTTTATCTAGATGCCAAATATCCAAAGTGCTAGTTGTGGTAAAAGCATCTTATTTGACTCCAATAGAATTTGCTGTGCTGCAAATACCAACACTTTTATATCAGAATGGTAATAGGTACAGGGAACAGTAAGCTTACAGTGTTTAACCAGCAAAACATTTTTTAATTTAGTCCTTGTTTACCTCTTCTAAATTCTGTTATCTATGTGCTTAAACTTCTCAGTGCCCCTCGTGTACTCAGCAGTTCATGCAGAAAAAAGACCTGCAAATTCACATGATCAAATCTCACGGAGCTCCCAAACCATACCCGGTGAGTAACTAGTGGCAAGTTATAATATAGTGTACCTGTATTTATGTGGCATCTAAAAGCATACTGTACATTGGTGCACTGATAATTACGTAACCAAATCAGTAACAGCTACCCACCCTGTAAGAAGCTCTGGACTGCACCACACGTTAATTAAACATGGATCCATGGATCCATTTTGATTTAAGCTATCGTGTGAGGAAGGCAGTGTGTGGAGACAAGGTTCTTGAGAACGTTTACGTCATTTCATTGCCACCTATCTGTTATTGGGAAATTGACAGAATCCATTATTATGAAGGTGTAGCCTTAATAATAATAAAATCATATTGGGATCAGGCAGAGTCAACACTTCTTTTAAAAGGAACATCATGTTTAACTCATTTATTAGTATTCTTTGAAAAAGGAACAAGCAAAATGAATAAAAGAGAACTTGTGGATATGATGCACTTGGACTTCCAAGAGGTATTTGATAAGGTTCCGTATCAAAGATTACTGTTCACAATAAGTGCTTATTGTGCAAGAAATACCATATTAACACAGATAAAGGATTGGTTAGCTAACAGGAAGTAGACATTAGGGATAAATCGTTCTTCTTTCAGGTTGGCAAGCTGTAACTAATGGAGTACCACAGTGATCAGTGCTGGGACCAATCTATATCAATGACTTGAACAAAGAGACTAAGTCTATGGTAAATAAATTTCTGGATGATACCAAAGTAGGTAGGAAAGTGACAAGTCAAGAAGTGGCAAAGAACCTGCAAGAGATATAGATAGGTAAGTGAATGGGCAAAAAAATTAAAGTTAAATGTGGGAAAATATGAAGTTTTTCACTTTGAATTTCCATTCTTTCTGACAATGTTGCAGAACTGTGAGGTACAGAGGGATCTGCGTGTCCAGGAACATGAATCACAAAAAGCCAGTATGCAGGTAGAACAAATGGTTAGGAAGGCAAATTAAGTGTTAGCATTTATTGGAGGGGAATGAAATATAAAAGTAGGGAGATTTTGCTGCATGTGTGCAGGGCTTTGGTCAGACCACATCTGGAATAATCTGGACATTAGGGACCAGGAGAAGACCATTCAGCCCATCAAGCCAGCTTCACTATTTAATTAGATCATGACTGATCCTTGATGTCAACATTATCTCCATATCTGTTAGTCAATAGTCTACAGAAATCTATTTATTTTTGTCATGAACATGCTTAAAGATTCCTTTTTCTTTTTATATGTGAGCCACTGCAGTCCGTTTGGTAGAACCACAATACCATTAGGAAGGGAGTTCCCAGAATTTTGACCCTGCAACACTGAAGGAATGGAGATATATTGCCAAATCAGGATAGTGCATAGCTTGGATGGGAACTTGTAGGTGGTGGTATTTCCATTGATTTGCTTCCATTGTCCTTCGAGACGATATTGGTCATGAGTTTGTAAAGTGCTGTCTAAGGAGTCTTGGGGGATTTCTGCAGTATATCTTAGACCATAAAGTATAGGACCTGAATTAGGCCATTTGGCCCAAGAGTCTGGTCTGCCATTCGATCACGGCTGATATGTTTCTCGACCCCATTCTACTGCCTTCTCCCCATGACCTTTGATCCCCTTACTAATCAAGAACCTATCTACCTCTGTCTTAAATACGCTCAGTGACCTGACCTCCACAGCCTCTGTGGCAATGAGTTTCACAGATTCATCACCCTCTGGCTGGAGAAATTCCTCCTCATCTCAGTTCTGGAGGGCACTTTGAGGCTGTGCCCTTGGGCCCTAGTCTCTCCTTCCTGTGGAAACATCTTCTCCTTGTCCACTCTATCCAGGCCTCTCTGTAGTCTGTAAGTTTCAGTGAGATCCCCTTCATCCTTCTAAACTCCATTGAGTACAGACACAGAGCCCTCAATCACTCCTCATATGACAAGCCCTTCATTCTTGGGATCATTCATGTACACCTTCTCTGGACACCCTCCAAAGCCAGCACATCCTTCCTTAGATACTGCTCACAATATTCAAAATGTGTTCAGACCAGAGCTTTATACGCCCTCAGCAGTACATCCCTGGTCTTATATTCTAGCCCTCTCAAAATAAATGCTTACATTACACTTGCATTCCTAACTACCAACTGAACCTGCATGTTAACCTTAAGAGAAATCCTGAACTAGGACTCCCAGTCCCTTTTGTGCTTCAGATTTCCAAAGCCTTTTCCTGTTTAGAAAATAGTTCCCCCTCTATTCTCCCTATCAAAGTGCATAATCTCACACTTTCCCACATTATATTCCATCTGCCACTTCTTTGCCCACTCGACAAGCCTATCCAAGTCCTTCTGCAGCTTCCCTGCTTCCTCAACACTACCTGTCCCTTCATCTACCTTTGTGTCATCTACAAATTAACAACAATGCCCTTAGTTCCTTTGTCCAGATCATTAACATATAACGTGAATAGTTGTCTCAACACTGACACCTGCGGAACTCCACTAGTCAACTGACTGCCATTCTGAAAAAGACCACTTTATTCCCACTTCCTTTGTCTAACTTGCTCGTTACCTCCTCAAAGAATTCTAACAGATTTGTCAGGCATGACCTCCCCTTGACAAAGCCATGCTGACTCAGCCCTATTTTACCATGTACTTCAAGTACTCTGGAATTTCATCCTTAATAATGGACTCTAAAACCTTAGCATTGACTGAGGTCAGGCTAAAATACCCGTAATTTCCTGCCTTCTGCTTCCGTCCTTTTTTAAATAGGGGTGTTACATTCACCATTTTCCAGTCCTCTGGGAGACTCCCTGACTCCAGTGATATCTGAAAGATTGCAACCAATGCTCCCACAGTCTCCTCAGCTATGTACTGGTGTGTAAGTTGATCTGATTTATCCATCTTTAGATCTTTTAGTTTCCCCAACACCTTCCCATTAGTGGTGGCCACTACACTCACCTCTGCCCCTGACTCTCTTAAAGTCCTGGTATGCTACTGGTGTCTTCCACCATGAAGACTGATGCAAAATACCTATTTAGTAGCTCTGCCATTTCTCTGTTGCCTATTACTACTACTTCAGTCTCATTTCCCAGTGGATCAATGTCCACTCTTGCCTCTTCCTCACCTGTTATAGATCTAAAAAAACTCTTGTAATCTTCTTTTATATTACTAGCTAGCTTACCCTCAAATTTCATCTCCTTTTGTTTTGGTTGTCCTGTGCTAGTTTTTAACAGCTTCCCACTGATCATCATATCGTATGCTTTTCCTTTCACTTTTATGCTCTCCCTGACATCCCTGGTCAGCTGTGGTTACCTCATCCTCACCTTAGTTATGTTTCCTCTTCCTCAGAATGAATTTTTGCTGTGCCTCCTGAAGTACCCTCAGAAGTGCCTGCCATTGCTGCTCCACTGTCTTCTCTGCTAGGCTTCCCTTCCAATCTTCTCTGGCCAACTCCTTGCTTATGTCTTTGCAATGACCTTACTCAATTGTAATCCCATTATATCTGATTCGAGCTTCTCCTTCTCAAACTGCAAGGTGAATTCTATCATATTATGGTTACTGTCCCCTAGGGGATCCTTCACCTTAAGATCCCTAATCAAGTCTGTCTCATTATATATCACCAAATCCAGAACTGCCTGTTCCCTCATGGTGTCTACCACAAACGACTCCAAAAACCATCTCGTAGTCATTCCACAAATTTATTTCCTTGGGATTCGCTATCAACCTGATTTTCCCAGTCTATCTGCATATTGAAGTCGCCTGTGATTATTGTAATAGTGCCTTTATTACATGCCTTTCCTATCTCCTGATTTATTTTCTTCCCCACATCCTGACTACTGTTGGAGGCCTGTACATAGCTTCCATCAGCGTCTTTTTCCTCCTGCGGTGTCTCAACTCTGCCTAAATGGATTTTGTGCCTTCTGACTCTACATCACTTCTTGCTATTGATTTCATTTCATTTCTTACTAACAAGACAACCCCACCCCTCTGCCCATCTGCCAGTCTTTTTGATAGGACTTGTTTCCTTAGTTCCTGATCACCTTACAACCATGTGTCTGTGATGCCCGCAACATCATACACCCCAATTTCAATATGCACTACAAGCTCATTAACCTTGTTTTTTATACTGCGTGCACTTAAATACAACACCCTCAGTCCTGCATTGATTGCTCCTCTCTCACAGTTGTGTCCTTATCTGTTGCACCTGAAGTTAGATTCCTGACCCTTTCCACACTCTCTTTCCTATTGCTTGTGGAAATTTTAACAACCTCTCCTGAGCCCTCCTCCCATTTAACTTTTTCCATAATTTTCCATGCAACTCCCCCACTCTATGGTTTAAAGTCCTTCCTACAGCCCTAGTTATGTAATCTTACAGATGGAACACACTGTTGCTACTGAGCATCGGTGATGGAGAGAGTGACTGGTTGTAGTGCTAGTCATGCGGGCTGCTTGGTTCTAGATGGTATCATGCTTCTTGAATATTGTTGGAAGTGCACTCATCACTTTCCTGACTTGTCCCCTGTAGCTAATGGACAGACTGTGGGGATTCAGGAGACAAATTTCTCAATATAGCATTCCAAACCTCTGACATGTTGTTGAAGTTGCTGTATTTGTATAGCTAGTCCAGTTAAGTTTCTGGTCAGTGGTAACCCTGAGGATGTTGTCAGTGGGGGATTCAGTGATGGTAATGCCATTCAATGTCAAGGGGCAATGATTAGATCTCTCTTTTGGAGATGGTCATTGCCTGAAACTTCTGTGACATGAATGTCACTTGTCACTTTTCAGTCCAAGCGTGGACATTGACCAATTCTTTCTGCATTTGGACTTGGACTGCATCAGTATCTGAGGAGTTGTGAGTGTTACTGAATATTGTGTAATCATCAGCAAACATTCACAAATCTGATTTTATGATAGAGGGTAGGTCATTGACGAAGCAGCTGATGATCGGTTAGGCTTAGAACACTACCCCGAGGAACTCCTGCAGTGATCTTCTGGAGCTGACTAGGAACAACACAACTATCTTCCATTATCCTATATATGACTCTA